AAGATAAGAAAGAAACACTGTTTTCGGATGGGGGCATGGCATTTACAAGAAGTTCCATGGCCTTGAATATGTCTCAGCCCGTGGGGGATTTATGTGACAAAGCTGTTCAACCAGGTTTGGATGCTAAAGCAACTAATGACCTTCTGGAATTGCAGAGTGCCCTAGCAGAAAAATCAAATCAATTAGCTGATGCAGAAACCAAGCTCCAAGTGCTGACAGAGGAGGTTTCCAAGCTTGGAAGTGAGCTGGAAATAAGTCAGAAGCTACTTGATGAATCTCAGGTATTACTAACTGAGATGAGAACTTTCCCGGTTGTTTTGTTTGTATGATGATTACAGAGAACTTAATCAAATATCTTAAGACACCCCCTCCCCAGTAATGGACAAATCACTTGTTTCAAACAGGAGAGAAATTATGAGAATGATTTTGAAAGCATACCTTTTGGAGAATTTTTTAGAAGGAAGTCGGACTTTATTCTTTTCATATCCGGCTCAGGGCTGCCCCAATTTTTGAAGGGTTGAGTGAGTTTCTACTATTTGAGAGCGGCCTAATACAATGTAAATTGGTGACCTGCTGCTTTCATTCTCATCTTGCTAGTGGTAGATTGAAGACTTTATACTCCATGGATGCTTTGGCAATGAACATTAAGCCCATGTTTGGCTAATGTTTATAAAATGTTCATAATTGGTCAAACCACTTTTTATCCATCACCAACCTTACCTGTGCACCTAGACAATTACAAAGAACACAATTCACGAGCATCTTATTGTGTTTAGTGAAGGGTTATCCTTAAATATTTATGAACTACTATGATTTGAAGGTATGCAGAGGTCCTGTTCCTAGGGGTCTGGAAAATCATAGAGTTAGTCTACGTAATTGAGATAAACAGCAGCAGCGCAAAACTAGTTAGTAACCCCAGCATTTTCTGTATTAAAAAAGAATCAAATGCAAACTATGATTAGCTTGTTCAGTACTTGAAGCCAACCCTTCCAATAACATTTGCTTTAGATAACAATCTGCATGAGGGTATGACACCTCTAACTGCAGATCCTCACAGGTTTTTGGGAACTTCCATTAGCCAAATTTTGATATTGAGAAATAAGCATTCTGCCTAGACCGCCCTTTAGAGAACCACGTGGAAACTTCTTATATAGCTTCTATTTGAAAACCATTTTTACATAACTCTTTTTTTCTCAAAATCATTTTCAACCACACATTCTCACAATGAAAAGATTCTACACAAAAACCCAAAACTTTTTCGTACTTTTTAACCACACATTCTCCAAAAAATAACTATCCCAAAACTTATTTGCCCAAAAATCTTTTTTTAATTGTTGTCAAACAGGGGCATAGTAACCTTATGTTGACTGTACTGTTGCACCTCTCGAAGTGGGGATTAAGGAGAGAGTTCATAGGGCACATTAATGAAGAAATTAAGAAGAATTGGGCGGTGTGGGTGATTTTGAGTCTTGCTTGAGAGAGATTAGTTGCTGGAGAAAAAGGAAGAACAGATGATTGACAAGTTGGAAGATTGATTTCATCTATATTTAGTGGTAATTCGAATCAACATGCAAAGTGACTAGGATATTGGATTTTCTAGTCTGAAATTCTAAGATTAAGATCAGTGATAAATTCATAACTTAGTCTTGAATTTACTGTAACGAGCTTGTTTCCTATTTTATTTGGGAAAATTTCTCTATTGATCCCCAACCCATTGCCTGTCAAGTTGGCCACCAACCTTAATAATATGTAAGTTGGTCCTTGACAGGCCCCCAGAGACGAGGAAGGGTGTAGTAATCGACGAAATGCTTCGGGGAGTTGCGATCTTATTCCGCAACTCGGGTTGATATGTTCGACATGGGCTGACCAATCTCTTCCATCCTCATCCATTCCTACTTGGAATATGGATATGAAATGATGGAGTTAGGTTTTTTGTTTTCTCGCCTGTGTTGATTCCTATAGTTTTGAAGTTAGTCATATTTCCAGGTGGGGTGTGTAACTATTTACAAATATTTGAACATTTCCGTCACTTGGGGACTGAATGTGCCACTATAATCAAACGTTGATGACAAACTTGCTGGTTTTTTAAGGTTGGGGCCCAATTTTCTGCTAGGGCTATAGCTTAGGGAACAATATTACAATTTTACACGATAGTAAATAATGTAGTGAGTTGGATCATCATTAAGATTTTTTGAAAGTTGAAACTATAGCACTTTTTGTCATTTGGCTTATTTGCTTGTGGGAGGTGGGATTAAAGCTAATGAGTTGGGAGAAGATGGAGATGGCTCTATCAACCTAAGTTTCTGGGTATCTGATAATTGGAGAATGAAATACTGATGCTATATTTGGAATATTATTAAGAAGTACAAGTGATCTTCCTTTTTT